GGTGGGGTCAGTGGAGTGGGTTCAGGTCGGGCTGGAGGGGGACTTCTGAGGGATGGGGTGGGCGCTTCCCACCCAGGTATTAAGGGAACCCGGGAGGGTCCACAAGTCTGGGCAGTACGGTCCACGAGGTCAGGTCCCCGGGGTGCGGATAATGGGCACAGGTCCTGAGGGAAAATCTACAAGCCCTCTCCTCTCCTCAGTGGATACGGAAGACTCCCTCGATGAAGGACCTGGGGCCCTAGTATTGGAGAGTGATTTGCTGTTAGGCCAGGATCTGGAGTTTGAGGAGGAAGAGGAAGAGGAAGAGGAGGAAGGTGACGGCAACAGCGACCAGCTCATGGGCTTCGAAAGAGACTCTGAAGGTGGGTTTGGGGGACTTGGTTAAGGATTAGTGATCGCTGGAACCCCAGCCCTTCAGGAGGTGGGTTAAGGTTTAGTGCCAGTGAGCAAAACACCGTTTCCTGCCTGTTTAGTTTAGATTTGAGCTAGATTTCTCCACTTGCCTAATCGTCTAAACAGCTCCATCACTTTGCTGAGGTGAAGTTCTGGGGCCTGATCCAAAGGTGGTATGAATAGGACAGTGGAAGTCACTGGTTAAAAGTAAATGTCCTTTTTATAACCTTGTCCCCACTCCATAGCCCATTCCTTATGTGAGTTTACTTCTGAGAGGACAGGGAAGCAACTTCTCATTTCACCCGCAGCTTAAACTCCTTTTGTACTGAGGTTTTCATCTTTACCTTCAAGTATCCTTCCACGTTCTCTTCCCTGTAATCTTAGCAACACCCCATCCTAATTTGCTGCACTACCTACTCCGTGCCACTTAGGAAGGATGTTTTTGAAAGTCATTGAGGGAACCCATGTAAAATCATCCTTTAGGCTGAGAAGTAGCATTATACTTGGATTTTCTACTTCCCAGTTTTGTCTCACTCTTGAGAGTTTTTATTTTATAATCAGGTCCATATTTAAAAGGACCTTACTAATATAGAGCTTAGGAAAAGCTCTCAGGCCTCTACCTGGTATATTTTTACTTTCTTATCCTAAGAATCAGTTAATTACATTATTGATTCATTTCAGTCTTTGGTCCACTGTGAGCCCTTGATCTTTTTCCATTAAGTAGAACTATGCACAACTCTGTTTTCACTAGGCTAGTCCAGACACAACAGTAGACAATTCATATTTAATTTTTGGGATCACGAAAGGGAAGAGAAGGGTGGGGCCAAGCAAATAGGAAGACCACAAGTGAGAAAGGGTGTTTGGAATCTAGTCCTACGCAATATTGATGTCTCTTCTCATGTCTGTCTCACCAGGAGACTCTCTGGGGGCCAGGCCTGGGCTTCCCTACGGGCTGAGCGACGACGAGTCTGGGGGCGGCCGGGCACTAAGTGCCGAGAGTGAAGTTGAGGAGCCAGCCAGGGGTCCAGGGGAGGCCAGGGGTGAGAGGCCAGGCCCTGCCTGCCAGCTGTGTGGGGGGCCCACAGGTGAGGGGCCGTGTTGTGGGGCAGGAGGGCCGGGTGGGGGGGCCCCGCTGCCCCCACGGCTACTATACTCATGCCGCCTCTGCGCCTTCGTGTCCCACTACTCGAGCCACCTGAAGCGGCACATGCAGACACACAGCGGGGAGAAGCCGTTCCGCTGTGGCCGCTGCCCCTACGCCTCAGCCCAGCTCGTCAACCTGACACGACATACTCGCACCCACACTGGCGAGAAGCCCTACCGCTGTCCCCACTGCCCCTTTGCCTGCAGCAGCCTGGGCAACCTGAGGCGACATCAACGCACCCATGCAGGGCCCCCCACTCCTCCCTGCCCAACCTGTGGCTTCCGCTGCTGTGCTCCTCGTCCAACCCGGCCTCCCAGTCCCACAGAGCAGGAAGGAACTGTGCCCCGGCGACCTGAAGGTAAAACACTAAGGACCAAAGAACCTGGAACACAGGTGGGTGGCCTTAGGGATACTTGGATTCACCAGGTCTCATTGTCCCCACAGATGCTCTGCTGCTTCCAGATTTGAGCCTCCACATGCCGCCAGGTGGTGCCAGTTTCCTGCCGGATTGTGGGCAGCTGCGGGGTGAAGGGGAGGGCCTATGTGGGACTGGATCAGAACCACTGCCAGAGCTGCTGTTCCCTTGGACTTGCCGAAACTGTGGACAAGAGCTGGAGGAGGGGGAGGGTAGTCGGCTGGGAGCTGCCATGTGTGGGCGTTGTATGCGAGGAGAGGCTGGAGGAGGTGCTAGTGGGGGGCCCCAGGGCCCCAGTGACAAAGGCTTTGCCTGTAGCCTCTGCCCCTTTGCCACTCACTATCCCAACCACCTGGCCCGGCACATGAAGACACACAGTGGTGAAAAACCCTTCCGCTGTGCCCGCTGTCCCTATGCCTCTGCTCATCTGGATAACCTGAAGCGGCACCAGCGTGTTCACACGGGAGAGAAGCCCTACAAATGCCCCCTCTGCCCCTATGCCTGTGGCAACCTGGCCAACCTCAAGCGTCATGGTCGCATCCACTCTGGGGACAAACCTTTTCGGTGTAGCCTTTGCAACTACAGCTGCAACCAGAGCATGAACCTCAAACGTCACATGCTGCGGCACACAGGCGAGAAGCCCTTCCGTTGTGCCACCTGCGCCTACACCACGGGCCACTGGGACAACTACAAACGCCACCAGAAGGTGCATGGGCATGGCGGCACAGGAGGACCTGGTCTCTCTGCCTCTGAGGGCTGGGCGCCACCTCACAGCCCCACCTCTGTTTTGAGCTCTCGGGGTCCTACAGCCCTGGGTACCACTGGTAGCCGGGCTCTCCATACAGACTCACCCTGAACTAGGTCCTTCACTCCCTGGGCTGTATGGATTAGCCCTGACTCTCCTGTATGTTTTATAGAGATGGACCAGAAGCCACCTTCTCCTTCCCCCGCTGGCCAGGGGCTCCAACAGACTAACCTAGGCACTATATGGACCAGCCCAAACCCCATGGGC